AGAGCAGAATGTTTTCCCATAGCCCTCATGTCAACAACCAGAATGGATTAGGTTTTTCATTAAGTCATAAGCAAAATGTTGCAGATGCTGGAAATCTGCCCGAGCATCTTTAACTGCGGCACAATTGATGATTGCATATTGTTAACCTTCCGTGACTTCCCAGATAACAAAGCTGCTCCTGTTGAATTCTTTTTATTCACTGATGAGATGTAGGCATTGCTGTCTGGCCAGCATTTATTGCATGTCTCTAACTGGCATTGAGAAGGTGGCAGTGAGTTCGTTTTTTGATTCACTGCAGTCCCTGTGCTGACAGTAGATCCAGAGTGCCGTTAGGAAGGGAATTCCAGGGTTTTGACCCAGCGATAATGAAGGAATGGTAATATATTTCCAAGTCAGGATGGTAAGTGACTTGGAGGGGAACTTGCTGGTGGTGGTATTCCCATGTATCTGCTGCCTATGTCCTTCTAGATGCGAGTGGCCATGGTTTTGGAAAGTGCTGTCTGAGGATTTTTGGTGAATTTCACAGGTATACAGAATGCTGCTGCTGAGCATCACTGGTGTAGGGAGTGGATGCTTGTGCATGTGGCGCCAATGAAGTGGGCTTCTTTGACTTGGGTGGTGTCAGGCTCCTTGAGTGTTGCCATATGTGACAATATTATGGCTTTAAGAGGTATATTTTGTCCTTTTGTTTAATGGAGAGGTTGAGACAGAGCTATTGAGAGGTCTGCTGCAAGCTAATAAACAGCTTGTAAGGTTTTTTTTTAAATTTTGTGACAATGGAAACAGCTTGAATGGGTAGAGTCAGGGTCCTGCAGAACCAGGGTTTTAGTTTAGCTTTCAGTAGTTGCTGGGGTTTTTGAAGCTGGTTGTCGAAGCTGCTACTTCCTTCTCTCTGTTACAGCTAAAAGTTTGGGTTCTCTTCCTTCTGCCAGAATTGCATGTGAGATAATCAATTTTACTGAATTTGCCTTTGCTAAGAGTCTGTTTATGGGATGTTACTATATTGGAACAGTTGTTTTGTAGTTAAATAATCTATTGTTCTGTTAAGTTTTACAGTAGAGTTAAGTCATTCCATTTCTTCTTTCTTTTGTTTGTATTTTAACTATAGGGCAAGAATAAAGGATGTTTTGGAACACAGCGCCATACACTTACCTTCAAATAAGATAAATGTTAGGGTCTAGGCTATCTCCTTGATAGATTTGAAGAGGGTTTGGTTTGGTCCATAACATGTAATGGCACGTATTCAGGCAATTTGGAAGTATTCCATCACACTGTAGATGGTGGACAGGCTTTGGAGAGTCAGGAGGTGAATTACTCACTCTTGTAACCACTGTGTTTATATGGTGAGTCCCGTTGAGTTTCTGGTCAATGGTAAACCCCAGGATGTTGATAATGGCGGCTTCAGTGATGGTAACACCATTGAAGGAGCAGTGGTTAGATTGTCTTTTATTGGAGATGGTCATTGCCTGGCATTTATCTGGTGCAAAAGTTACTTGGCACTTGTCAACCCAAGCCTGGATATTGTCCAGATTTTGTTACAATTTGAACTGCTTCATTATCTGAGGAGTCGCAAATGGTGCTGAACATTGTACAATCTTTGCCGAATGTTCCCACTTCTGACCTTATGATGGAGGGACGGTCATTGATGAAGCATTTGAAGATGGTTGGGCCTAGGACACAACCCTAAGGAATGCCTGCAGAGAAGGCCTAGAGCTGAGATGACTGACCGCCAACAGCCACAACAATGATTTTATGTGCCGGTAAGATTCCCACCAGTGGAGAGTTTGACCTCTGATACTCATTGATTCCAGTTTGGCTAGGGCTCCTTGATGTCACACTCGTTTGAACAGGCTCTTGATGTCAAGAGCCATTATGCTCCTCTCACCTCTGGAATCCAGAGGTTAGTGGGGTGATATGTGAGGACAAGGGGGACTCTGTCTTTGTTTTTATTGCGGGGAGGGGGTGTGAGGGCAGAGGTGCGGGAAACGCAAAAGATGCGCTCGAGAGCATTTTCGACCACCAAAGGGGGGAGGTTGCGGACCTTGAAATAAGAGGACATCTGGGATGTACGGGAGTGGGACACCCCATCTTGGGAGCAGACACGGTGGAGGTGGAGGAATTGCGGGTAGGGGATCACATTCTTGCAGGACCTCTTTGACCTGACACAACCTGTCCATCTTCTCTCTCACCTATCTGCTCCTCCCACCTTACTGACCAATCCCTGCCACTCCCTACCTGCACTCACCTATCACCATCCCACCTACCTTCCCCAGACTCACCCCTCCTCTCTCTATTTATTTTGGAGCTCTCTTCCCCCTCCCCCATTTCTGAAGAAGGATCCTGACCTGAAACGGCAACTTTCCTGCTCTTGTGATGCTGCCTGGCCTGCTGTGTTCCTCCAGCTCCACACTGTGTTATCTTTGACTCCAGCACCGGCAGTTCTTACTATGTCTGATAAATTGTAGTGTCAATTTTTAACGAGCTTTTTACACTAATTATTTTCATGGAGAATAATGTTAAAGAAAATGGATGTGCTTCCAAGCCTCACATAGAATGCTGCATTTCACCTCTTAAAAACAAGTGTGTATGGCATTATTATGATCAGTAACATTAAATGGAAGTTAGTAGGGACAGGATATGGTGAGCAGGGCAGTTTAAGAAAAAGACCCTGGTAAAGAGAACTTCAAAGAAAAGATATAGTTATAAAACCAGATGAAGTGCAAGCATTTTAAAAAATATATGTATGATGGTAAAAGAAAAAGCATCGAACAACATGGCTTGAAAAAAAAGGCAGCCAGAAAGGAAAAGTTGTAAGCAGTGGATCCTGTGAAAAATAGAGGAGAGAAAAAAAGTTCAGACAGTGGGGGTTTGAAAGAAGAGATTTTGCATATTGCAGCAAATGCAAATAATTATACTTCCCGCATACAAATGAATAGAACCTCTAAGATTTCATTATTATATGTTTCCTTCCCAGAATGATTTATTCTTTGGTCAGCAATTTAGGTACCGGCACCAAATTATTGACTTTTGTCCCAGCCACCCAGCCAGTGTGCAAAGAAAATAATACTAATATAGCCATTTTTCACTTTGTGTGGCTTTACTTCTTTTCAGCTTCTTTTCAGTTGTCATTTTAGTGAAGAAAACAAAAGAAACAAAGCACCAGGAGGTTGAAAAATAGTTTTGTCATTGCTAATTTAGTGGTTATCACAGCTGCCTCACAGCATCAGGGACCTGGGTTTGATTCCAGCCTAGGGTGACTGTCTGTGTAGGGTTTGCACATTCTCCCTGTGTCTATGTGGGTTTCTTCCAAGTGCTCCGGTTCCCTCCCACAGTCCAAAAATGTGCAGGTTAGGTGAATTGGTCATGCTAAATTCCTTGTGGTGTCCAGGGATGTGTAGTTTAGGTCCATTAAGTATGGGAAATGCGAGGTTATGGGGATAGAGTGGGAGGGGAGGGTTCGGTGCAGACTTAATGGGCTGAATGGCCTGCTTCCACACTGTAAGGATGCTATGTGTCTATGGATTTAATTGAGAACAAAAATCATGGATAAAAGCTGGCTATTATAGACTTCAGTTTTCTGAACCATGTGTCCAGTCAAGCTCAACAAAAGGAAAATATACAGTCTGATATATTACAAGCAAATCTCTTGTAGCATTACTCACTTTGATTCAAGGTAAATGCTATTTTATAACAGTCGTGCTGTTATTTCAAGTAGGCCTGCCATTAGGTTCACTGACTTGCAATGACTGAATAAGTGAAATTTAATTTTTATTGTGTAGTAGATTTTCTTTTTAACTGGTTTTCGGGGGGTTAAACTCTGAAGGGTTACCATTTTTACTTGTATAATGAATTATATGCAAGTGACCTTTATTTATAAAACAGACAATAATACTTGACAAATAATGATATGATTTAGTAAAATTCTGTCAGCTCACAGCAAGGAGAGGTGGAAGGCTTTCTTGGAATGTAAATGCTGCCCATCCCTAGTTTCCCTGGGACTGAGTAAAATGCTAGGCCATTTCACAGGGTAGTTAATTACCATGCATCTGGAGTCATGTATCGTTCAGACCAGTAAGGATGGTAAAGTTCCTTCCTTCAAGGTCATGATTGAACCAGGTGGGTTTCTATGACAATTAATGATTGTTTCATGTTCACCCTTACTTAGACTAGCTTTCAATTCCAGACTTTTATTTTATTAATTGAGTTGAATTTGTTTAACTTCCACCAGCTGCCATGATGGGATTTCTGTCTCTGTCCCAGAACATTATCTAAGCCTCTGAATGATATTACCCTACGACGCCATCTCCCTCTTTGTACTGTACCACCAAACTAAAATGTTACGTGTTGCAATTAAAGATTTAAAATAGTAGGTACTAATATGGGGGAAATAATCCACGTACTAAAGAGACGCCACAGTTAAATAATGACCAATAAAAAAACCCTCCACTGGCTTGAGCCTAGGTGTGAACAAAAATGATTGTGTTGTTGATGGCTAAGGGACATGGCAGTGAAAATTCACCAGAGTGCTCAGACCAGCCATCTTCAGTTGCTTCAGTTGCTTCATCAGTAACTTTGTCTGGCATAGAGTCACTGTCCTCATTTATGATGGTGAAACCAATCTTTTTCTACCCACTGCCTCTCTGGACCTTGCTACTTCCTTCCCTCCATGTTGTAAGGCAAATTGCTCAGTTGTAAGTGAGCTGCAGTTTTCTCCAGTTATATATAATATTGGTATGACCGAGGCTATTATTTTTAGTCCTTATCATAAACTCGATACTTTTGCTATAGTTCCATCCCCTTCCAGCAACAGTCTCGAGCTTTTGGAAGCTTATATTACTTCTATAGAGTCACTCACTGAGAGGCATAATAAGGTGCTGTATAAGTGCAAGTTCATTCCTGTATATATTATAAAAGATGTATTAATTCTGCAAAAACCAAAAGAAACCTCCAAAACCAGTGGATAGAGAAAAATAAGAATGTAATTAAGCAAAGTTCCTAAAATGAATGTAGATGTTAATAGCAGTCACCAGAGTCCACAGGCTGCTGTATCATCCGAGAGTGATGAGTTTAACCTGAGGGCAATCGCATCTCGGTTGAGGGGTGAGGTCGAGAATGAGGAATCTTCGAGGTGACCTCAGCTGAATGCGAATTGAACTCACACTATTAGCAGTACCCTGCATTGCAAACTATTGTCTAGCCAACCGACTTCGTAATGTGAATCTGCAATGAAAAATAAATTCAGGGTATTCAGAACTTCTACTTTATGTGCTGCCAAGTTCACACTGGCAATTTAACTTTTAGTTTTATGTTTATATTTTACCTTAATACCAATTCTTTTTCTCTTTCCATTAAATTGTTTTTATTTTATACCTCGGATTTCCCCATGTCACTAGATTATTACTTTATATTTTACTGGTTCATGCTTTAATTCAATCGATCTTTTGAATTTTATTGCTATATCCTTTGTAAATGGACTGTGTTTATTTCCTGATGGTCAAGTACATCATTGAATATTTATGTGAAAGTGATAATAGCTGGGGCAGAGAGAATCTTGCACCTGCTGAAGAGTCTGTAAAACATCTTTTTGGGAAAATAATTCAGGACCGCTTGCATGAAATCCATGCAGTTATTTGAAAATTTTGAATTTTGCTTCCATAATTATACTTAAAATCCTAGAATGAACATTGAATAGATGGGTTAAGTAGGCTGGCCTAACTTCCAAACCATTTAAGCCTAGTGAAATCAATCCATAAATTAATTACTCATACCTTAGTATTGTGTCATAGTGGAATTGAGTGTTACTAAAATATGTTGCTTTAATGATGGAAGTAAAGAACTCAAGTCTGTAAATAAATAATTCAACTAAGCTGCAAATAATTAGGAAATGTGGCTTATTTATATTGTTCCTCTTGGATTTCAGTTGGTGCTGAATCGCAAAATGACAGCTCTTCAGCCAATGAGATTGATGAAGACATTGCAGTGACCCAGAGCCAGAGAAATTTCATTTGCCCCATTACACAGGTACAGAACAGCATATTCCGAGAACGAAGTGTTCAGGTGCATTTTTCTTTGCAGTTAACTATCAATGTTAGCTATTGAATGTATTTTTTGAGCTCTTTCAAAGCATTTAAATTAACATGAAGATTTTGTCATTAGCTTTAGTTTGAAGCCTTAAGTTATAGGAGCAGAATTACGCAATTCAGCCCATTGAGTCTACTCCACCATTTGGTCATGGCTGATAGCTTCTCAACCCCATTCTCCAGCCTTCTCCCTACATAGTATGCCTCCCGTATGATTCATCTTTCAGTAAGATTGTGGCTGTCTGGTTGTGGTTTCACTTTCACCTTCCTATCTGTACCGTGTAACCGTTGACTCCTTAACTATCAAAAATTTATGTATTTTAGTCTTGAATGAATTTCAAGTCTTAGTCTCTATTGCCTTCTGTGGAAAAGAATTCTGCATTTTAACAACACTCCTAAGAGGGGAAAAAAAAACTCTCGTCTCTGTCTTAAAAGGAGAACCTGTTATTTTTAAACTATGTCCCTTAGCTTTAGTTTCCCACACGCCCTCTCTGGTATCCACCCCATCCAGTGCTTTCAAGATATTATATACTTCATTCATATAAATTCCAGTTGATATAGGCTTAAAATGATCAACCTTTCTTGATAAGGTAAACTCTTCATTCCAGGAATGAGTTGAGTGAACCTCTGAATTGCTTTCAACGTAATCTTTTTACAAATAAGGAAATCAAAACTGTATACAATACTCCACATGTGATCTCATCAACATCATGTACAGCTGCATTGAAACTTGCCTATTCTCGTATTTCACTCCCCTTCCTGGAAATGTGGTTTGAAACTTGGTATGCCTGTCGATTGCAGTTTTTGAGAAAGGTGGTCATGTGGTCCTGCTTGCAGCCTGTAAACATGGATAAACATGGATTTCCTTGTGGATGAGCAAGATAAGTCTCTTTGCCCTGATTTCCAAATGATTTGGTTGATTAGGACCTTATTATGAACAGGATGATAGTAAACCAGAGCTGTTACATAACTTTTATTTTTGTTACTGCTCAAAGAAGTTAATAACTACAATGAAGTATAATTCCTCTTTACAAAATTATATGAAACCCTCCCCAGTTATTACCTGTTTCTGTGCACTCTATATATAACAATTTGGCATTCCTTAAATGTGGCAAAGCAAGGAAGGCATGAATTTTGGTCCTAGTTTTGCAGTTTTATTTTAAAGACAATCTCTAATTCATCTTGAATCTCCATTATACTATTCCATGAGACCCCAACAGAACATATATTAAAATCTACAACAAAACTATTATATTTCATCACATTGCAGTCTGTTTTTCAGATTTTCCAACCCTTTTCAAAAAGCAGCTGACTTTTTTCCATTCAACAATGTAATTATTTTTGTTTCTGAATGAATAGACAATTATTACCAGTATGTGACAGTAAAATAAACTGGCTTGTAGACAGAGTGTCTGTTTTTTTTTAGATATTCTGAGTAGTACAGAATTAATCCGTTTGCCAACTCCTTTTGGAATGGAAGCTGCAGATTTTGTACTCCCTATAAGAGGAGGGTGATGGTTCTTGACTTTATGTAAAAGCAACTAAAATTGTGCAATATATTGTTTTGAAGTGAAGTTATAAATTTATTCACTTTTTTTTAAAAAGATGAAACTGACTCTAAAATCAGCATAGGTGTCACATATTATGCATAGTCCTGGTTGGTATAACCATTCATTGTGAAAAGGAGAGAGTCATTAATTTCTTTTTTAACTTTTGAATTTTCAGAGGGAAATGGAATGTCCTGTGAAGAATAAAGTTTGTGGTCACAGCTATGAAGAGGAAGCCATAATAAAAATAATTCAGAACAAGCACAAACAGAAGAAGAAAGCCAGGTAAGTTAAAAGTGGAACAACTACATCCTAATAGGGACTTGGATGTTATAAAAATTGTCACGATTCAATAAACCACGGTTCAGCGGCTTAAATGAATCCTACTATTATTCTGTCATTGATGTATGATATCTCCATATGTCTCTTTTTAATGAATCACAACAAATTAGTAGTCGCATATCATTGATTCTCAAAGCTAAACCAAATAGGTCACAGAGCAGCATCTTATTTTAGAGATGTTGGAAATATCAGTTTGGTTTTCCTCGTGGTGTTGCTAAAGTTTTGTTACATTACTTGCTTGCAGCAAAAGAATCAACTGTCTCCAGGTGTAACTTCAGGAGTAATTCTACAGAGGCTCATGTTCTTAAAATGATTGTGGTAGTTCAAAATGTATAGCTGAATGTCTTTTAAACTGACTGTTATTTACTCAGAATAGCAATTTCCTACCAACCACTGATTACAGGAACATTCCAGCGATATTATAATTGGAAACAACAAGATGGTTAAGTCTCTTACTCCAACATAAAGTTCAATGGAATGTTCATTACAACCAGAACAGCCTGATTTCCAGATATGTTTAACATTTTTAACAGATTGACCACAGAACTTAAGGAATATTGCAACACTGGCTTTGTCACTAATTTCCTTTCATCCAAACACGTTGCTTCCATACATTGCAGTGACATAGAGTCATAGAGCTGTACATAAAGCATGGAAACAGAGCCTTTGTTCCAACTTATCTAAGCCGACCAAATATCCTAAATCAATCTAGTCCCATTTGCCAGCATTTGGCCCATATTCCCCTAAACCCTTCCTATTCACATACCCATCCAGATGCCTTTTAAATGTTGTAATTGTACCAGGCTCCACCACTTCTTCTGGCAGCTCATTCCATACACACACCAGCCTCTGTGTGAAAATGTTGCCCATTAGGTCCTTTTAAATCTTTCCTCTCTCACCTTAAAACACTCATTAGTGCTTATTCTATTTCTGTTTGTCTTTGTGTTAATGAATTTTCAGTATCAGTTAAAGGAATGTATCATTCCAGTTAAGAATGCAAAATCAGAAAGGTGTTGACGTCTTGAGTTAATGCAGCATTACAGTCTGCTATTAAACATAAAATGTCTATTTATGTGAAGTCAAAGGAAAGTCAAAAATATAAAATTAATTAGTCAGATAAAAAGTTAATCTAGGATTCTTTTGGTAACAGGATTAGGAAATGCCCATCTGATTACTTTAGCACTGTTGGGTCTAATTTGATTCCTTCATTTTAATTGAAGCATTTTGTCTCTGCAATAGGTGCCCTGTTGTTGGATGTGATAATGGAGATATGAACCAGTGTGATCTTTCAATGGACACAGCTCTGAGAAGAGCTATTGAAAATCATAAAAAACATCAAGTGCGATGATTATGTATCACATATTCAATGGGCGATTGTGTCGAAGAAGGTGTCAGATCCAAATACTTGGAAGGATATCTTGTGGAAGGATAGAGTTCTGGTTAATCACTGATAATTATATAATTTGATTAAGATTGATGTTGAGTTTCATTTCAATTCTGTGTGATCGGTTTTGATGATAACATACGTGTACAATGTTTAAAGTAGAAAATGAAGTTGAAGATACGAACAGAAATCCTTATTCCAACCTAAACATCAGTTGCCCCACTGAAACATATTTAGGGAAAATTGAAAGTAATATTTTAAAATTAAATATTTAACTTTCTCGGGGAACAGTATTGAACTGTATAGCAAAGGATTTCTTGCCAAAATTTATAAGGTTTCATTTTGTAATTTCTGCATCCTCCTTACAATGCAAATAATGCTTTGATGTCAGTGATACACAACACAAAGCTCCCTAAGTATATTGTTATCATTTATCACCACTGCTGCTTTGGGATTTCCCTTTGTAACTATATTCCTTGTTTCATACATCTAAAATAAAGTTGGCTTGTTTTCTAGTTTTCCTGTTTAAGTTAGGTCCAGAAAATCAGATACTGCAAGCAAAGCATGTTGCAATACAATGCAAATGATCAATAATGGTGAGTAGTTGATAGCACATATTCAGTAATGCTAAGGTTTGGGACCATGGAAATCAGCTAAAAGGATTTTGAGGCACTCTACACGAAGATTCATGTTCATCCCCTAACCAGAAATTCTCTTAATTTGATAGTTCTTTCATTCACCAAAAGTAATAGAATCTTCAGTGCTCATCTGAGCCACGGTTACAGACAAGAAGGACTTAATGTTTGAAGAGCAATGACTTTGACACTCTCAGAACTGCATTGAAGGGTTAGGCTAAGTTATGTAATTAAGCTTTGGAGTGAAGCTATGCCAATCAGCCTACTGGATGAAAAAGAAAATTGATGCCAACTGACTTCAACCTAGCAAAATGGCAATTTTTTGCAGGCAGCTCTTGCTTGTTTTTAAATTGAAGCTGTTTGAAAATTGACTTCTAAATGTTTCTCTGTGTTTCACTCCAGTTTTTTTTTCACCCCTCAATTGAAGATGGCAACTTAAAGCCATAGAATGATGCAGTGCAAAGAGTGCCTGTTCTCCCCACTGTGCCTGTGCTGACTGTTTGCAACAGACATCCAATTAGTTCCATTCCTCTCTCATTACTCCACAGCCCCGTAAATATTGTAGCGCACACTTACTTAGTATGGTGGCAGATTTTGCACATCTAGTCAAAATACTTTTCTTCATGGAGTTGTCGAGACAACAGTCAATGGTTTACAGACTATTCAAATGTAATCTGTCACAACTGATTCGGATCTTGTGCACCCATATCCTGCCATGAAATTGCTGGAATTGTGCTTAGTTACCGAACCCTGACCCTTTTGGCTCAAAATGGCTAATTCTCAGTCTGAGAAGTTGGTACTGTTCTGATCTGTATCGTAATATTTATTGTATTTATGCACACAGTTATCAGAGAGAAGTAATAATACTTCTTGGATACTACATTCTTTCATTCTTCTTAATATTTCTGTTTGAAAACATTTCAAATAAAGAGAAAATGACTTTCATGTTGCTGTAGTTGTAACTGCAAAGGTACTTTTTGTCTTGTTTGAACTGGAATAACACTTGATATCTGTTTGCATTAGCTTTGCAAGATGCAGTAATACTATATTATAGTTGTTTTAAATGCACTTTTCATTTATAGTAAGGCCCGTGGCCAGTAGCCTAAATCCAGCAGAACTTAAGTTGAACTCTGGTTAAAAGTAGGATTTATGAGTGGGTTGTTAAAATAGTTATGCAATCACATTGAGTTGTTTAAATTAAGTTGAAGCCACATTGTTAGGCAAGAGAAACAAAATGGTGTATTTCATTATTAGGCTTTCTTTATATTACTGAGTAACATGTTTGTTTTGAATGAAATCATTGAATAAGTAGGAATTTGGTGCAAAGGAGAAAGGAGGTGCCTTTACATCTTGTATTTGTTGTTTGTCTAAGCTTGTGACAGTTAGTATTAAACCTAGGAACTTGTAACTAATTTTGTTTAGAAACTAAAAACAGTGAATTAATTACATTAAACTTTCATCATCATATCATTTGTGCTCTGCCTGAAGCTAGATTGTTAGCTTATTGTTCGCTGTTGTATCATTTTGAGTTTTCTTGGTGGTTGCATTGGCTTCCATTCTCGGACTATGGGAGGAAACAGGTCCCAAGTCAACCTTGACTCAGAACAGTTATCAAACCAGCAGTATTTAGGTTATTCTGAATCACAACTGAGCCATTAGTTATGTCTATAAAACAAGGTCATGTCGAAATGGTCACGTGCACCATCTGCAGCATTTGCGGGTTTGTAGAGAGCTGCATGATCTTAAGCACCCACATCTGCAACAAGTACAAATTAATCTAATGGCTAAGATAAAGATGTTTGAATCATCAAGGAGGTTAAAGTTAACAGAATATCCTTACCTAGGATATCACAGCACTTCGGTTGTGTTTAGATCTTGTTAGTGGTCAAGGACAGCATAATACAACTGAGCATCATGAGGCAAGTAGACAAGATTTGAAGTTAGGAGGATCCTAGCCTTTGCCATTTTCCACAGTCATGGGGTTGCGACAGATGTGGATGAGAAAAAAGAGACCAGGGAGCCATCATGATACAAGTGATGATTTGGGTGAGGGATTTGGGCTCTTATGGCATTGTGGTATTAATAGACAATATTATAGTTGTGAATAAATTGTGTTCTGTGCATAAGCAACTAGGATTTCTGAAGACTCTCCTGTATGCCTGTTAAGGATATCTTTGTGGCTTGAGGAAAAAGTGAAGGAGAGGTAGTGGTTCAGTTATTATAATCCGTACAGGAACCACAACACAAATAGAACTGGAAACTAGGTTCTGCAGAGGGAATTAAAAGCATTAGGCTACAATTTTAAAAAGCAAAACCTCAAAGGTGGTAATCTGGATTACTTCCTGAGCTATGCATAAATTGGCTTTGGAACCAACTGCTTAGAGTTATTAGTGCATGCCTGAATTCATGGAATACCAATTTTTATAAAAGAAGGAACTTTTCTGTTCAAATGGACTCAACCTAAGATGGGCTGGACCAGCATCCTGGCAGCTTGAATATCAAGTTACGTAAGCTAGGTTCAGATAATGGTTATGTCTGAAAAATAATCAAAGCTCGAGAGTAGAATAGCAGTTGTGGCTGGAAGGAAAATAGTAAAATGAAAAGGACACTGGTGACCAAGACACACCAGGCAAAAACAGTATTATATTAAAACTGAAGGTTTTTATATCTGAATGTATGGCATATTGGTAACAAGACAGATGAATTAATGGCACAAAGAGCTAAATGAGTTTTATCTTAAATATCACTGAGGTATAGGACTGGATTTTCCGCAGTGGGATTAACTGTGGTCTCAACTCAGCACTAAGTTAGGGATAGTCACCCAACATAATTATTGAAGGATTGCTAATTAATGGTCAGAGGGTGTTTGTACCACCTGATTGGAGATCACTGGCAGGTTCCCATGACTACAGGACCAATAGTAGACTCTGGGGGACTGGGTGTTGCTCTGAAGACCAGGGTCAGAAACGTTATTTCCGAAAACACCACAAATGCCAGACGATGCTCATGGAGCTCAAACCCTCTACTGGACAACCTGCAGCTGTAGCCTGACAGTATTGTTGTATGGGAAGGGTCTGTAGTGAGATGAGGCATTATTCCACACCCCCCACCACCCCCCCTACACTCTCCACCTCTCCCACAATGCCATTTTTCACTTGAGTCTCTCTGTATCTCTTTCTTTCTCCAAACTGGCTCAAAGAATGGGATGCTGGTCAGTGGCATGAAGTATCAAATCAGCATGCCTCCAATCCCATTTCTATTTCCACCAGCCTTTAGACATGCTGCCCATGTTTGGGAGCTAAATATTCCTGAGTACTTTTGGAAAATATCGGAAAAACTAGTGGGATGGCCTCATAATAAATTAGAAATAATTGATGTGAACCCTAACAGTGATCTTAGTATTTAACAGAGTATAAATCAGAAAATTAGAAGGGCAGTTATGAAGGGTAATGCAATGATCCTGAGGGATTTTAATCTTAATTGGCAAGCTAAATTGGCAAAAGTAGGACAAGTTGAATGAATTATTGTGAGACAGTTTTATAAAACAGTACAGCGAGTCCCTGTTTTAAATTGTCCTGTTTAAGTAAGTCTGCTTTATCATTGGTCAGTTGTAATCCTTTTAAGCATCCAGAGTTTTGTTTTAAAGTTGTTTCACACCATATCTGGTACAGGCCTACATGAACTATTTGATACCATCTTGGAGCTTGACCCTCCCTCTCTCTGCCCACAATTCAGTTTGTGGCCCCTGCTGCTCCCTGATCCTACCCCTCACTGCTGACCCTCTGGTTTATGGCCCTTGCTGCTCTCTGATCCTAGCTTTTCCTGTCAACCCACAGATCCCTGACCTCTGCCACCTGCTGATCCTCTATTCACTGCAGATCCTCTGGTTTGCAGCTTCTGCCACTCGCTGACCCTCCCTCTTGTTGCTGAGGACTTTCTGCGTTTTGCCTTCTACCACTGCTTAATTCTTCCTTCCACTGCTGACCCACCTGTGACCTTTTCCACTCCCTGGCCTTCCCTCTTGCCGCTGACCCTCTGGTTCGCAGTCACTGCTGCTCCCTAACGGTCAAGACCCTGGCTTGCAGCATACATCTTAAAAGTTTATGGAGGCTGCTCTTTCGCCACTCATCTCTAGAGCATTTGTAGCAACAATTCAGTTCGGGAAAGGGAACTGGTGAATGGGAGGGAGGGAGACAAAAGTCCACAGTGGCAAGGAAGGTCAGGGAATGGGAGAAACAGTGATATGGTAAGGTGGCAGCAAGAGACAGGGTCAGAGCAACATTGGTTCAGTATTTTTGAAAAGAAATTTTAATCGGCTAATTTTTTTAAAGAATTTCACGAGCATTTCAAATGTCAGCATTATATGGTTTATTGGTTGTGTACCTAGTGTATACTGGGTAAGGGGCTATAGAAGAAATAGAGATGAATACAATTGGGCAAGTTTCCCAGTTTCCAAGGTATGTCTTCTAACTTGCTGACCTTGCCACCACCCATCTCAGTTGCTACCTCAGGCCTGCCTCAGGAGTTGACTGCCAACTTCCTCCTCTGCCCCACTTGTAGAAACTAGTTTAATTCAGTGAATGAGCTGCACTTTCAAGTTTGGGGGCACAACATGGAGCAACAGCCTAACACAGGTTTCATGATCTGAAAACAAAAGTCCAATATCAGGAGGTGGGTTCAGGCCATTTCAGAGTAAAGGATAAGCCACTGTGGACAAGGATTAGGAGAAATTTCTTCATTCAGTGGCTTGGAAATCTTTGGAATTTTTTTCATCCAAAGGGGCTTTGGAGGGTCAATCAGTAAGCATGTTCAAGGTTCAAATGGGTAGAGTTTGGGGCACTTAGAGAATTGAGTATATGTGGATTGGCAGGAATTTGAAGTTGATATAAAAGTCTTGTTGAATGGCAGAACATGCTCAATGGCCTAAAACCTGTTCCTGCTCCTAATTATTGTAACCTTGTACAATCTTGCATCATTGTAGCAGACTATTTGATTCATTGTGCCTGTGGCAGCTCCTTGCAAGAGCTGTCTAACTAGCCCCAAACCCTGCTGTTTCCCTGTAACCCTGCTATCGTTTCAAGTAAATAATATTTGGAAGTTACAATTGAATCAATATTCATTACCCTTTGAAATAACATCCCAGATCATAGCAACATGAGAGTAAGAAGTTTCGAGCATGTGGAAATATTGGTGAGGCCAGGAGAATAGACTAGAAGATCTATGATGGGACTGAAGGCAGGTAAGATTAAATGATAAATGCTGTTGCAAGGCAAAATGAGATTATAATGGGACATATCCATAAACTAAACATGGATCCATGGAAGTGTAAACAGGAGAGCAAAAACATCAACATAGAACATTACAGCGCAGTACAGGCCCTTCGGCCCTCGATGTTGCGCCGACCTGTGAAACCAATCTGAAGCCCATCTAACCTAAACTATTCCATTATCATCCATATGTTTATCCAATGACCATTTAAATGCCCTTAAAGTTGGCGAGTCTACTATTTTTGCAGGCAGGGCATTCCACGCCCTTACTACTCTCTGAGTAAAGAACCTACCTCTGACATCTGTCCTATATCTGTCACCCCTCAATTTAAAGCTATGTTCCCTCGTGCTAGCCATCACCATCCGAGGAAAAAGGCTCCCACTGTCTACCCTATCTAATCCTCTGATCATCTTGTATGTCTCTATCAAGTCACCTCTTAACCTTCTTCTCTCTAACGAAAACAACCTCAAGACCCTCAGCCTTTCCTCATAAGACCTTCCCTCCATACCAGGCAACATCCTGGTAAATCTCCTCTGCACCCTTTCCAATGCTTCCACATCCTTCCTATAATGCGGTGACCAGAACTGTACGCAATACTCCAGGTGCGGCCGCACCAGAGTTTTGTACAGCTGCAACATGACCTCGTGGCTCCGAAACTCAATCCCTCTACCAATAAA